GGGGACAGTCCATTTGTTTCAAATAAACAATTTTACTTCAATAAGCTGACAGATATCTTCTTTGATCATGAACCACTGAGCTGGGCATTCAAAAAAAAAATTCCAAAAATTTCCTTTCTCTAAGTGCCACTGGCGATAAACAAGGGGTCCATATCGATGTAAAACTGCTGGTTAACAAGAAATTGAGACTACAGACTTCTTGATACCGATGAAAATGCAATTTCCAATAAAGAACTAAACAAAGACAACAAAGGAGTACAGCTGAATTGCGCCAAAGTTGAAAGCATACTGATAGAGACAAACACTGTTTGTAACAAAATTCGTCCACCACTTAGTATTTTTCTATGATAAGCAGATGCGCGATTGATAATTGTACGGCTTTGAAGAAGCCGATGTGGTTGGAACGTCAGCTATTGTATTATTACTAGTGCTGTTTTAGCTATATCTGTCTGATAGTTATTTTTGAGCCATGTATGTGGTCTCTTATGGGCACTTATAGAGCCCTATACACGTGACGCGGCCTTGGCAGCCTCGTCAGTTGGTCAGTACCCTTCGTCTTAGTCAGTCCTCCTCGAGGACTACCCAACCCCCTTACATAGTGGGCGAAGACGTACTAATTATGAAAACTGGGCGTAGTGCAAGGAACACTCGGAACGAAAGGTATGATATATTTGACCTTAGCAGTCAAGAGCAATCGAGTGTACGACACTCCCAACAAGTGATATTTTCACTTAATGAAGCGTGTAAATAGTACGTCGTTGCTTACTCTATGTAAGGAGTTGGATTTCCCCCAAGAAGATTGGCTAAGACGAAGGGTTCTGCCTAAGTGACGAAGCTCCCAAGGCCAAAACACGTATCGAGCTCTATAAGCGCCCATAACAGTACACATGCATGGCTCAAAAATAACTATAAGGTATACAGAAATTTGAGCGTTGTCTAAAGAAACACTCGTACTTGCTTATGAAGGAAGCACACAGAACTGATGAATCTGCCTCAAGATTAATAGAAAGTTGATTAAGCGAGGGAATTGTTTCATCTATAACCAGTCAGATTGATAATACCAATTGAGACTACGGAATACTATCTTCAATACCACGTAGTCTTCACGTTTAAGACCTCCACATCTCGAAATTAGAAAACAACATAAGCATTCTCACAGATGCACGAAAAACTGCACTAATCTTTTCACTTTTTCTCAACCATGTGAAAAATTGCTCTGTAAACAGAAGTGAGTGATTCCCATAAATTTCTGTATAAATTAAATCATGATCAATTCTGTAAACAAGCTGATCATAAAATCGATACAACTGTTTTATATAAAACTTATCAAAGTTCCTGAGAAATAACTAGAAGAAGAAGTCACACAAATCTTAAGCCGAATGTAAGATTGGTGCCACGGGGACAGGAAAAATCCCCTACAATAAAACTAAATACACTCAGAACTCATTGGCTTTTGAGAACCGTAAAGCCTTCAAAGAAAAAAAATGCTCATCTATTTCGACATTTTTTATGATTTAGGAGAGATGTAGAATTCAAAATGAACTTGATGCCAGTATGCCTTCCATCGCATTATCGCCGAAAAAAAAAGTTATTCAACAAGTGGGATTCTTCGCCCAACAACTTCGTTAGATACCTCTTACGGTTGGTCGCAGATAGATCGATAGCTTGTATCGCTAACACACTACTGGCAATACAGGAAGCCCGGCATTACAAAAGATTAGCCCTCGCCATCGTAATGGGCGAGATGCGCGTGCGATTCCCGTGAGAGACTCAAAGTTTTGTATAGCACTCAACATTGTCAAATATTTAGCTATAAAGTTCCTTAACAACACGACAGGACATCTTACAAAACTATCTGATAATCAGCATTTACGCGACGACGTGATCTCTTATACAGGAAATGACGATTGCTGTCAACTTCACATCATCTCATTTCACTCAAAGTGGATTAGATGGCAGCATTTGAATAGTATTCAATAAGAATATAAAAATCTCTCTCGAAGGAAGAAGCAAAGACACCTACGAATACGAGTCCATTGGAAAACTTCGTACTATGTGCTAGTGTTTCACTCGGTGAAGACTTCTTCAAAAACCAAAGAGAAATGATCAAGTTAACAATTTTGATGCCAAGAGAACTTTGTTAACAGAGACTCTAAGGAAAAGGTGAGGATGACAACATTACAACTGACTCACAGTTACCAGTCAGAACCAAAGTGCCTCATCAAAGTGCACACCGAATTGAAATGAAACTGGGTAAACTTAAACCATAAGAATTATGAGCGATTGAGGCTGTGAAAGCAATTTACACCTAAAAGTCAGCTAAAGGTCGAATAGACATCAAAGAAAGATTAGAACATGCCATATCTAGAAATCAAAAATGTAATCAATTCTCAACTGTAAACAAAAGTCATACTCACTGGAGAAGCTCCAACAACAATAGTGTGAGCCGCTGTAGCTATGTAACCGCCTATATGAACACCCAGATCGATCTGAAACATTTGTATAACTCTTGCAACTCACTTATAGTTAAAACATAAAGAAAACATGCTCGATGGACTTTTTTAAATACTGTTTTATTTGCTCAAGAAAATCCGAGTTAATTTCTTGATTTTCGAATGGAAAAAATGATGAGCAAAACATAATTCGTTCATAAGTATCTATCTTACATAAGCACTAACATTACAGAATATCTTACCGAAATACCTGATTTGATCGATAACTCTAAAAAACTGATTCATCTTGACCATTTGTCCAATTTCAACTTAGTCGGAGGGTCGGAGCGAAGTGGAGAGAAGTGACATATACAGTGATCCACAGAAATGCACGTGGGCATCGCAATACCCTACATGTCGACAAACAAAACATTAGCCACGTTTTTGAGAAACCACAAGGTAAATCAAGAAAAAAAAAGCTTGCATACCTTTGTAATGTCTTTCCCTTTTATGAAAACTTTCGAAGTCTTCTCCAAAATCAGATTATCGCCTAGCGTGCAAAGGTAACCGACTTCAACACCTTCCACCGCTTCTGAGATCAGTTTCTAAAGTGATGTAAAGTTCTAAGATCGAAAAGTCGTGAGACAAACCACCAAAAAAGTGGTAGATATATAGATCCTAATCTCCAAATGCACACTAGTAAAGAATATAGAATGAAGCTCCCAGTGTTGATCAATCTCTGAGAAATGAGTCATGCATTCGTCTTCATCTAGCATCGAAGTTATTAGATGCATAGAAAGCCTTTACAATGACCCGCAGTAGCCTACTAAGTCACTGCTGCTATCCTCCCAAACAAGTCTGGCTCCAATACACCAATTCCGGAGAGATGGAAGGCTTGGTAAGCCGTGGGAGTGCGGGATTGAACCATCAATGAACTGACCACGTGTGTGACGCAAGGCACCCCTAACGACTGCGCAACTCGTGCTTCCAATGCACATTATTGGTAACAAAAACAAAAAAAAATGTGCGAACTATTGTCGATCACCATGGCTCAGTCTTCATAAATCTGAGAGAGGTAAAATGAAAAATGAGAAGGGCTTAGACTGGGGAACGTCCCCTCCGCTCCCCTACTTGATATCACGAATGCCATAGCAGTCATTTTAGGAAATGAACAAGGGATTGGTAAAGAAAGACGATCTAGGGAAAGAAAATTTAAATGCGTAACGATCCGTAGAGAGCATGCTACGCAACGGTTAGGAGTATTCTACGTCGCACACAAGGTCGGTGGTTCAATCTCACGTTCACGGCCTACCAAGCCATACATCTCTGTGAGATAGGTGAATTGGTACCGGACTAGTCTCAGCTTGTCTTGGAGGATAACCAGCACTGACTCGATACAGCAGGAGGCCATGGTGAGTCATTATAAAGGCCAAATATGCATTCACTCACCTCAAACGAAGTTAAAAATTGAGGAGAAATGCATGGCGCATCCCTCAAGGATTGATCAACGCCGAGAGCTCTATCCTTTATCCTTTAACGACCCGTATGCCAATTTGTCACGTCTTAATCCAGTTGGTCAAGTAATTACAACGAATGAAGGACAAAATGATAGAGCTCTCGGCGTTGACAAATCCCTAGGGGATATGCCATGCATTCGTCTTCAGTTTTAGCTTCATTTCAGGTGACTGAATGCGTATCGGGCCTCCTCAATGACTTGCGGTGGCAAACCGCTGTCACATGTCGGTGCTGCCTATCATTCCAGACAAGTCTGGTGCACTTTGCCAACCTCGGAGGGATGAATGGCTTGGTGAGCCATGAGCGCTAACTCGAACCGGCGACCACGTGTGCGACACACAGCACCTCTACCATTGCACCACAGCATTCCCACTCAGTTTTATCGCGCAATGAATACCATTCGAAAAGAACGCACTTTGAGGATCTCGTTGACCATTTGAGCTGCCATTTGATATTTGTTAACAACCACATTACTGGAGAGCGACTCGTCTTCACGAGTCAATTCTTTGGGGCTCGACGAACTGCTCTCGCTGTCTTTACAAGGCATCTGAAAAACAAATTAAAATCCACGTACGTGGCTTGGGAAGGAAGAAGGTTCCTTCTATTTGTGTAAAAAAACGGAAGAATATAATGATACAAAACAGAGAATTAGGCCACACTGTATGAGTGAATAACGAGATAACGTCGAATAACAACAAAACATAGAATAAGAGTGAAAGGATGGTGATTACTGGGCTTTCCTCGCTCTTTTTTTCTCTTAACAAGGCCTTTTCTGGAGCTCGCTCTCCTGTAGTTCCAACGATAAACAGAAAAAGCTGTAGTTCCAACGATAAACAGAAAATTAGGGTCTTCACAACTCACACGTACCGTTGTAATAGACAATAAAACTGGAATGGAAACCCTCTTGACGATCAAAAGTTGATCTAACCGAAGTTGTTGCGTTGGCACGAACTCCCTGTACTTTTTCGCTTTGAATGATCAAACCGAATCCTTTCTATTTGACCGCTTGACAGACAAATGCGCTGTAGCGTAGAAACAGTGATAGCAAAATGGGCGCCAGTAGTGCAACGGGTTAGAGCGTGCGCTCCCGGTAAGAGTGAAATGCGGGTTCGATTCCCGGCTGACGCGAAAAGTTCTTCGTTTTTGTTCGTTATTCATTATCCACTAAAGTCTTTGTTATTACTACCGCTTGGAGCAGTTTCCTGCAGGCACTTGATACATAACACTTTAGCTCTATCTTGAAACAAATATACAAGTATCATATCTCAAAGTAACCGCAAGAGGTTGCTATAAACGACAGTAAAAAAAAACATAAATACATGAGAAATAATGGACAGAAAAAAACGAAAAATCGGGAGAAGTTCTTGCCAATCTAATACGAAACTTTGCATCCGGGAATGGTTGCCGCCTTATGAATCAAGCATTTGTATAAGGGCAGCGGGTAGCGCAGCGATTAGTGATGCGGTGTACCAGGAAGTAAAATTGGTAAGCAAAGGGCTGGGTCGAATCCTCCGTCAAGAATCTGTAATAGACGATCACCCCTGGAAATTCCTCAGCTATTTATAACTCAGGTTTAGGTTTCAGGATAAAGTTGCCGTGCTGGGCCACGTAGCGCGTTGGGGTTGCACAACGATGAGCATCCTATCCTCTAGCATCGTTTCCAAGGCTCCGTTGGCACTTCTCTAAGAAATGGCGGGACGATCCCGAGAACGAGTTCTCACACGAATTTGTAACCCGATAAAAGGGCATCTCGTCATCGAAAATAGGCCAGCTCTTATCGAGGTAATCATTTGCAGACACGTTCATCACTCTATTAGTACGATTCGTCTGCTCGTCGGTGGCATTCAGTGAAAAGCTTGAAATCGTCAACCCAACAACCATACGAAGCAGTAACTATTCCTATCTCCTGATCAAATAATAATGAAAGGATCTAATGAAATTTAAGCATGGTCTTAATAAAGCACTCGAAATAAGGGTATAATATGATAAAAATACCAGCCAAAGAGCAATCGAGTGCGCAACACTCTGGGTTAGGTGTAGGTTTCACTTGACATGGAGTGTAAAACGTTCGTCTTCTATGACTCTCTATAAGGAGTGGAAGGCTCCCGAAAGAACTGACTATAAAAAGATCGAAAGACGACGGGTTTCTGCCTGCCTGACGAGTCTGTAAGGACGAAACACGTGTATCGGGCTGTACAAGAGCCCTTACCAGACCACATGACAAGTTGGCTCAAGTAGTAATGAAAGGACCTATCTACTGAGTTACAAAACTTTTCTTGAGAACTCGCTCTTCGGATCGCCCACCCACTGCCTAAAGAAGTAGCGGCGGATCCGTGGAAGCGTTGCTACATTTACCCTTGTATGGTGACAAAGAGCATCGTGAGGTGGAGTGATAGAGTTAAGGCGAGGGAAATAAACGTATGGTGGAAATGAGCTGCAAATGTTTTGAAAAGATTGGACAATAGTTGAGCCAGTGTGCCTTCGTACACGTCATCTAACATATGAAGGACGATGCGATTAGGTTCTTACAGTTTTTTAGACTTTTATGACCTTTACAGAGAAAAAAAGAAAAGAAGAAAAAAAAGGAAAAAGAAAGAAAAAAGGCTGAAATTTCGGTGACGAACACGAAGTTCCAGACTTGACTGGTCAAACCGATCGTCGCGGCGGAAAATGATTAAGGGGAAAGGACAGCCTCTTACGAAGCAAAATGTTAGATTACCCGAGTTTCAGGCGAGCTAGCGAGCTTTGGAAAGACTGGACAATAGTTTGAGCCAGTGTGTCTTCGTACACGACATCTAACATATAGGACGACGAGATTGGGTTCCACGTTTCTTTAGACATTTTTGTCTTTTACAGAGGAGAAAAGAAAATAGGAAAAATAAGAAAAAAGAAGAAAAAAGGCGGGAAATTTGATGACGGACGCGAAGTTCCCGACTTGATTGGTTAGAACGATCGCCGCGACAGTGAATGAAATGAGAGAAAAGCAGCCTTTCACCAAGCAAAATGTTCGATTACCCAAGTTTCAGGCGGGCTAGTGAGCTTCGAAGGCTGACGAATAAAAACGAAAGCGATCGATAATCAGAAAAAAATAAAGCAAGTTGAGCGAATTCAAAATTGACAGTGGCTGTAGCGACGAGGTGATAGTCAGGGCATTACGGTCGATATTCAAACGTTAGCCCGATGCCAATTTCGCAAACAAGCGCTTTTGGAGCGCGTTTGTTGGCGGCGAGGGAAAATGTCGTAGGAGCAACTCGCGACGCCGGGGACGTGGATCACCGGGATAACCTTTTTGTCTTCCTCCATTGTCGATCAGAGAATACTAAGTAGTAGGCAGTGCTCTCGGCCTTGGACGGGAGTTTAACCTTCGTTCCACCCATATCCGAAGACCCGTGCTACCACCACATTACCGAGGGCATCACTTATTAACAACTTCAATATCGCTGTATCAAAGCTATCAGCCACCAACCACGCTGGTTCAACTCCCGCCTGAGGTCGGATTTTTGCTTACCACTCAGTAATCTCAGATAGATATCTATAATGTCATAAAATGCTGAAAAGCAGTATTACCTGTATCACCTGTCGGCCCGTTGATCGCCGAGTGACTCGAGCGGGTACCAGCAACTCTTCCATTTTTCCCTATCGCGTGCAAAAGTAGCTTACTGGGACCGCCTCGCTCTAGAGATTCGCTGAGCATCATATCTTGCTTTTAGTCTTTTCGTGAAGGAATCGGACCAACGGGTCGGTGGTCTTCCTGTAGAGCGCTTGATGTCCCGAGGAACCAGTCGGTAACGGCTCTCGTCCATCGGTTGTCGTTGAAGCGCATCACGTGTTCGGCCCACCTTATTTTCGATATCCTGGCATGTAGAACGGCGTCCTTGATCGTCGATAATTGATGTAGGTCGGAACTTCGGGTCCTTTCTCTCATCTGCGAGATACGGCATACCCCTAGCATCGACCTTTCAACTGCTCGTTCGATAACGCCACGTGTTCTTCCATCCTGCTGACGTAGCGGCAATGGTTCCGCTGCATACGTTACGACAGACACAATCGTCGAGTGGAAAAGGTGGTCACGGAGTCGAATGCTCTTTGTCGTCTTCATTACATCTGCGATGCTCTTACCTGGTTGCTTCCGTCGACCCAAGGGCGTGTCCAACGACTCCACCCCTCTGCCCTGAATGTGCGTCAACTACAGCTATCTTTCGTTGCAGGTTTTTGTTGGTTTTCGTATTGACACCACACTTGCACTCATAACGTCGAGAAAAAGTAGTCAATACGTTGGTGCAATCTGCATGCGAATCATTTTAAAACATAACTGCGGATACTGCAACGATAAATAGGTGAACTCGTTGGACACGCTTGGGTCCACGGAAGTCAGCTGGTTAAACGATTCCCAAACGCTAATTTCCTCCGGCTCAACTTGGGAGCTAGGACGTCCATCATGTTGACTCCTCAACTCAAATAGACGTAATTGGAGCAATGAATTATATAACTGCGTTGAGAAGTAAATGTAAAGAATTCGAAAATTCAGTGTAATTGACTTCTACTATTTATTTGATAGCATAGATTTTGATGATTCTGAAGCTAGGATTGAAGCTAAGTTTGGTTTTCTAATAGCCTAGATGAAACGCTGGAAGAGCAATGAGATGATAACGTTTCCCATTCCTGGGCCTAGGCTGGTTAGGCATAGGCTTAGTAGTAAGTTTACCTAAGAATATAAAATAAAAATAAAATCCCAAGCACATATAGCGATAAAGTAGAGTTTCTTCTACAATTTTGTGCGGAAAAACAAAAAAAAAATTATGAAGTTCAGAACAACTTCTCAGATAAAAAGCGCGTTTTTTGAGGCGGCTTTAAGATCGTTGCGTGCAGGCGATTCAGAGATGCGCGATAAGGCGCGCCAAAGGTGAAAGATAATCCTTTTTCGACTGCTACACCGCAATAAGTAATCTTCTTCAGCTACCAAGAACAGTACTAGAATCACGGACATCTAAGCTTTCGAATAATATCAAAAGTTTTTAGGAAAAGCTCTGCCCAGCGAAAAACGCGTTGGGTGTGAAATTCAACTTCATTTTTGCTCTTAGATTGTACTGTGGAAGCTATTCCAGAAATGATGACCAACATCAAACTAATTGAGATTTAAGCTTTTGATTGATTACAAGCGCAGAAAAAAGCAGAAAACGCGTTCTTTCCGTAGGTTTTGAAATAATCACCAGTAACGGAAAAGTGCCATTTTCCCATTATTTTGTTATAAAACAAATTCAGATGGTACATTTTATTTTCAGTCACAAACTGAATCTTCGTCGTTATACTTCAAGAGGAACGTACGGCATTCTTTCTACTACTACTACTACTTTGCTTTATCCTCAAACTTTTAGTACTCATTCGATAGCTTAAAATCTCGGAAATTTCAATAGCATGCTTGGCTGCTGAGAAGACCTTCTTACTGTGTTGTTGTAATGGTATAATTAAGTTTGACACTCAGCGTACTTTTTCGCTAGACAAAACTTTTTTTTTGGAATCTCAAGTATCATAAGATATCTCTCTTAGATCTAGGTGATCCTAACACCATGTTTGTATCATGAAGAAACTTTTCAACCGCTTTGAAGCATTAAAGCTTCTTCTCCGTTGTCATAAACAGCGTGAAAAGGATGGCGCCTTCTCGTCTCAACCAGGTCAATGATATCATACCTTGTTCTCTTTGCTTAAATCAATAGATCTTCTACAGCTGATTCGTGAGCAAGGGTTCTTGCATTGTAGGTACAGATCGTCAATTTAGTCCGTTTCGATCTTTGCAGCATAGTATAGCCCTGAGATTTTAGCAGCCTCTTCGTACTCGTCCTACCTGACGCTGCAGTACCAGGGGCTCTTTTTCAGAGTCAGGGGAATGAGGCCCATAATTGTTACTATTTTCGGCACTTTAATACCCAAGGTATAGCTTGCCAGGCTCTAAACGTGAGGCTGGGTACTCACGAGTAGCTTGCCAGTCTCTATCGGAGAAGCGGGAGGAGCATATTTGTTGGGGGAACTCCTAACCAGCTCTCATGCTTCCCAGCAGCTTGATAAATAGGGAGCTCATCCCCTGAATCCACCGGCGTCTCTGGGAAGCACATGGTCGCTTTCGGTTTACG